GCTTGAACTTGGGTAGCAAACCTATCCAAAAAACTGCTCACTGAAGGATGCCTTGAAGGAAGCTGAAATTTTAAAGAATTTTTCTCTTTCTCCAGTTCTTCCAGTTTCCGTCTAAATTTATCGGCTAGAAATTAAATTTTAAAAAAGTTACTTAACAGTGACAAAAAAAGTTTCATTTTACCTGAAGAAGAAAAAAGGTCAATCAACAAAAAGTAAAATCCACCTGGCAGATGGTGGTTCTCCTTTTGATAAAAATATATCTGTCCGTTTTACTCAAGGATGACTTACTAAGACTACAATCGAAAACATCAGATAACCAGGCTGCTAAGCTACTTTCCTCTATGACAAGGACAAAACTGCAGGCTTCCCAGCACTTTCCCAGCGTTTTTATTTGGTAAGGTTCCAAAGAATTGGCTAAAAGTTATCACCTGTGCTCTTCTCCTAGAGTAACAGCTCTGAATTCAATTCTGTGAAAAATCCTACTCTTTACTGCTCCAGTTGTTTTAAAACAATTTTAGATGACAGTTACACATTTAAAGTCTGACCTTTTAAGAAAATACACTGTTATTAGGTCAAGAACTGAAGAACTGCATATATCTCAGCAACATATTTCAGCAGAAAATGCGTATGTCATTATACCGATCAAATAATTATCTCATTCCAGGCCCTCCTGAATTATCATCCAACAAAAAGATTTACTTTCAACTTTAAATAAAAATAACAGTGGTCCTTGAGAGATTGCTTTGATATTACCATAACTCTATAAATTTCTTAGAGTAAACACTTCTTTATGTAAGTTAGTTCTTATTTGTTTTCTATCCCCACAGAGAAAACAAAGGAACATAGTTCCAACTATAAATTACTATTTCTGGTACGTATATTCTCTAAAGTGCCAGTATACCAGCAAAATCACACACATGACAGATAGCAAGAGCCTGGCTGGTCCAGGCCAGAACCCTTTGATGACATATTAGTCAAACCAGAGAGTTTTGAGCTAACTCACAAATGGAAAACCTTTACAGTTCAGTACTTTCCACATGACCTCGCTGCCTACATTTTTGCATGATTAGCATTCCTTCTCTTCTAACACTTTCAATACATGTTACTATCAGAACAACATCCATCTGTGCACGCTTTTTACCGCTTATTTTCTTTCTTTATCCTCAAATAGTTTTTAAGAAGAGGGGTTGTTTACCTTTGCTGGTTTAGTGAAACGATCCATTTTTACAATAATCTATCATTAGTATCAATCTCTCTTCTGCATCTGTGCCATTGGGGTGGAATAAAGACACAGAACCTACTAATGAGACTAGATCTTCTCCCTGGGCCAGCAGATCATTCCAGGGTAGTTAAACTGATGTTGTTATTATTAGGGTGCAAAATGCTGTCAGAAGGCTCTCGCTGAATTGACCACCACCCAAGTTACTGCAGGGTCCCTGCCCCAACAACCACATGGACACGTGCGCATACTCCTCCTGCAAAGGAGAAACTCCTTTTCAGCAGGGAGGTGAACCCCATCTGTGGTGCCTTTCTCGGGGACCACAGCTGAACAGGTTCGTCCTATTTCTGTCACCACAAGGAAACCAGAATTTGGGTCCAGATGAGACTCCCGGGCCCACACTTTGACCAGAAAAACGTATCAGCATTCACGTTGCATGTGGAATTTCGAGCATGGCCATCAAAAACATCACTGTTACAAAAAGAAAAGTAAGGGTTGGATTGTCACCAACAACCACTGAATGCCAAAACATGTGGAAACACCTCCTTTTACTCAAACCATTCACCGTTGGGCTTCCTGTGTTACCCCAAGCGGGAGTTGTTACAACCCTCTACAGCCATTTAATGATGTTGTCATTATTCTTCATAATTACACTCACACTGTGCTTGTGCATCCAGTTGTTTCATCATTCTACTCCTACCCATCCTGGCCCTAGAAACAGGCTATTTTGGGAAGGAAAACAGATGAGGGGATCCACATGCCAATTCATTCTCTCTCTCTCTCATTAATTCTTGGCTGCATCCCGCTTTAGATATTCCAGTCTAAACAGCATTCAATTAGTTTCTACTAACAGACGTTTCTAAATAATTTGTTCCACTGGCATTTTATAAGCACTATTGCAGACCATACCCTCTTGTTATCTTCTCAGCACTAAATGATTTTATTTTTTTTTTTAATCCTTTCAGCATTGCAGTTAGGGGTTACTTCTCAAAAAACTCCAGCACCCCTGAGCTGAACACTGCAGCCCTCAGCTTTTAGGTTCGTCTTCTGGAAAGAAGAGCCGTTGGTTTGACCTGGCTGATGGAGAGACCAAGGCACCTCAGCACCAGCTGCAGAGCAAGGAACCGTGTAAAATAAGGCTCATCTCAGTCTGGCTTTCAGAGCTGCAGCTCGAGAGAGATCTGGATCAAGCAGAAGTAATGGAAATGATCAGAAGTTGAGCAATAGGACATGTGAAAAAGAGGGCAATAAGCAGGGTTCCTCAATCTAGTGGAGATAAAGACTGAGGGGAGTAACTTCCAGTACCATTACATACCGAGAAGTCGCAAAGAAAACAGTAATACAATGCTTTTCACCTCTCCTCAGAACTTGAGTCCTCAGTAACAAACCTGAGTTGCAGCAACGGAGATGAGGAAAAACCTTAGATAGAGTAAAGCTCTAAAACTAACTGCTTGGGACAAACAGGCAATCCCCACCAGTGTTGGTTTTCAGGTCAAACAAACATCTCTCAGGAATAGCTCTGCCATAGTTTTTAAGGTCGAGGCTGGCAAGATCAAATGTGTTTTCCTGCGATCCCTTCCCACCATATTTTCCAGGATCTTTCAACCAAGAAGCAGACACAGGCGACCTTGGCTATTCGTAAGCCATCAGTCTCAAGGATACCACTTTCTTTTACCTTCATTTTAGTCTTTTTAAGCATGTTATTCCAACACAGAAAAGACCTTCACAGAATCCCAGAGCTCACTGGTGGACTGAGACACCAAAAGAAACCACACACACTCAGATACCTCCATCACACACAAAGGCTTAATACTTCGTTGCTCTGTCCCACGTTTCACCTCAAAATAAGCCATTTAACACACAGCTTACACGCAAAAAGCAATCCCCCCGTTTGATGAAGTTCTTAAATGAAGGAACTTTCATGTATTCAATACATACTGTTCTAGAGACAAGTATTTGGAATAAGGTTTAATTCTCTTTACTAGCCTTTTATTTCACTGTATTCTGCTGCTAGCTTTCTGCCTTGCAGCAGTCCTACGGATACCCTAAGCGAGGCTTCTCCTTCAGTGCCAACAGCAAAAGGTAACCCTTCAATCACTCTCCATCCCAATCCTTTACTGTCTCCTGCACTTCAGACATCCCGCTCAATTTAAAGCCAACCCAGAATACAGGTCTGGAAGATGCTGACGAATTGTAGTTCTCAATTAAACAGACAGCAGTCAGAGAACTGCGTTGTCTCCAAAGATCATGTTTTTTAATAGCTTTGAGCAAAGGAAGCGATTTCCATAATTTTTAATTGACCATACAAGAACATCTGGCTACCTCTCGACTTTTTACATATTCTAGTATCGGTTTTATTCCTCTGAAGACAAGGTTTACTTTATCAGAACTATTTATCATCATTTAAAAAACATTTAGAACCTCATTTGCTACATACTGCATATATTTATGTTTAGTTATGTCTGTTCTTTGCTGACAGATGGGAAGATAATCAATTGTGCTATTCTACAAATTGCTGGACACGAAGAAAGTGTTTCTTCATCTAGCTCAACTAGAGAGTCACTCAATCCCGCCCCACAATCCTGTAAATAACCCGCTCTTTATGCCCCAACAACATGAAGGACCTAAACCAGGATTTGTGTAGGGTTTACATGTGTAAAAATCACACTCCGCAGCCCTAAAATCTTTTTCTCACCTGCTAGATACTTCCAGAGCCAGGTAACCTCCTCAGCATTCACCTTCTTAAAAACTTAAAGCTCCCAAGATGACTGAAGTGGTTTTGTACACTCAGCATCAAAGATATTGTTACCTATTTTGTAAGAACTAAAGAAGCCCCAGGTCCCAAACCAAAGACCCCTCCAGCAGCCTGTCTCCAACCACACATGGCAGCAGGCCGTTAGAGAGGAGGTGAAGAACCAGGGTACAAATTGCCTCTTGATACTGCTCCTGAACCTCTAACGTCTGTCAGCTGAAAGACTTCCTGAGCAAGACACCACTCCTAGATCACCTCACTGCTTTGAGGGGAAAGAAAAAAAAAAAATAATAATAATCACCAACAGGTGGACATCGATCCACCAGAAATTTCTCTCTTCTCAGGCTATCTATGCTTTTGGTCTCCAAAATATACTGTAACAGAGAATTCCAAAATAGAATTATTAATAATTTAAAAACATTTGGTAATTTTAAACCTAAAGTCTGATGATCTTATTAGGTGTTTCCTTTTTCTTTTTTTACTGTAAATAAACCAAAACAATCCTTCATTTTCCCTGCACATTAATAACTTAGGCATCATTACGTTCAAATCACACCACTCATTTTCCAGGACAGACAGACTTATATTAGGTAAAGCAATGCTACAAAGGCTAGAAAGTGAGGAGTTTAATATGGAGCTTGAATACGTGACTGAAACGCAGCTGGAGAACAGACTAGTAAGCAAAGTGTCTACAGCCCCATTACTACCATTGGCCTCCTGCAAAATTACTTGCAGAACATGCAGACCAATTAATATCCAAATATGACACATAAAGACATATACTGTGATAAGAACTAAAGGCACTACAAGCAACTGGAATATGCACGTGCTCTTAATTTAACGACAAAATAATTCAACATTTAACAGTACTACAAAGACACGCAGTAGAAGATACTCAGTTCCTTGCAAGTCCTAACACGCTGGATATACGTAAAAGGGAGCTTCGCATTACATTTGGAGAGCTGAGCAGCTAGCCCTTACCATCTGCTGTCTGGTCACTGGTACGGAGCAAAACCTTTCCTACTTTCCATTCAGCCCTGCATATGGAAACCAGCAAAATAAACCCAGTGCGGAGTCAAACTGCATACCTGGGGCAAGGGTGGCTGCAAGAAGGCATGGGGCTGGGGACAGACACTGGACGAGCCCGTTGAAG